GTCTCTGCTCAACATTTCCTGTGTTTCCTCAAGAGACCGGCTCCGACAAAACGAACCTGCTGTCAGGCGGCTTTACAAGAACACGGGGCGCTCACAGAGAGCCTCTAAATTGTGAGATTAACACTTTTTGTTCAGACTGGCTTATGCAATGAGTGGCATGTACGGCAGGGGCCACATGAGATGATGTCGGAGGTTACATAAGCCAGCTGTGCTTCTAAGGAGACACCAAACAGAGTAAATGCATGAATCTGCTGCACACAGCTGCGATCTCACACACACACACATAGATGCTGGTTTTCCTCTCAGTGACTCGGTGGATGTGTTTGGAAATGCACAACCACTACTCCTCTGGCGCCTCCGGAGTCCCTCGCTGACATGGGAATTCCTCTCTGAATACAACTAATCACCATCAGGGCTCCATGTTGATTAAAACAAAGGCCTACTCAGTCGCAGATGGCATCAGATGTGTTTACTCAAAAGTCGTTAGAATTGCTCCCCATCAGCTACGATTGATGGTAATAATCGCCGAAGACGCCGTTATCTCCCCTCTACCCATCTCGCCCTCAGTTGTAAAGTGTCTGTAGAAATTCGTTCCCTTCACTTGTGGACCATGTCCAATTAAAGTTTGAGTGGAGCAGAGACGAGAAAGGCTGGTGAAAAAAACGGTTTTATCTGTCCTTGAGGAAGTCATTTCCTGAGCGCTCGTCTCGTCTCCGACCCTCCGCAGATCTGTAAATTAGCCTGCCAACTGAACCCTGCTTCAGCTTTCGCCTGATTAGGAGAGCGGGGGGGGTGTTTGTGTGTGTGTGTTGGAGCTTTATAGATCCACAGGTAAACAGAGAGACCACCTGGTTTGCAGAGCTCCAACACATTGGGTAGGCAGACTCACAGACACACAACAGATGGAGCTTTGTTTTCTTTGGGAAGAGGACTTTTATAGAGCGGGCAGCTGCCTTCCTTTCTGCATCTGTTTGAGAGCCTTTTGGCTTCACTCTGACTTGTACTCTAAAGGCACTCTCACACTTACAGTGACAGATTTAGTTAATCTAGTTTTGCTGTTGTGCTCCTTTCATGGCTCATAACTGCTCTCTGCAGACAGAATGCAGAATGCTGCAATATATTTAATGCAATGTTATGTGATAAACGTAAGCATATTAGCTTATAATTATTTTTAGAAACAGTGATCTGTAAAATGTGTTGTGCAATATCACTAAGTCAGTACCTTGGAGGAGCAGCTTTTGCTGCAGTTTCAACCTCGGTCTACTTGAGTATCTCTCCACCAGCTTTGCACATCTGCAGAGACAAATTTACCATTTGTCTCTCTGCAAGACTCAGTCAGATTTGATAAAGTATCATTGACCCTTTTCCTCGACATGGTAACATGTTTATGTCTATGTAAGCCTGTTTAGTGGTTGCCATGACCCAGATGACAGAGAAATTACACAGTCATGTTTATATTTAGGACTAAGAATATAGTTTGTTAGAGGAGTAAAGGAAGCCAATTACATTAAATGAGAAAAACAGAGTTCTACACAGAGAGTGGTGTCTCAGGCTTAAACATTTAAAAACATGTTTTCTGCATTGAGCCTTATGCCTGATCGGTTTCAAACCAATTCACACCTTGTTGAATGTGAAACAGATGTCTCTCTGTGGGCCAGCAGGGCTAACAGCACCCTGTGCTTCTGATCTACATGTGAATGTATGTATATCTGCAGAGCAGCACATCCCAAACAGCATGAAAACCTTAAATTTCTCCCTCACTTTCTGATTAACGATAAATGTTAATAAAATTGAAGTCCAGTTGTTTTAGTTCTTTTTTTATTATTCAGCATCTGGCTCCATCTATCTTTCTTTAAACTGAGCAGTTTCCCTGTCCTTACTGACAGAGATCATCCTCTGATCATGATTCTGCTGCTACTTTTTTCACTATGGGAAGCTGTTTTCAGGTACAGCATTCCTTTTATATATATATGTATATA